ACGATGTCCTGCGCGGTGAAATTTATGAAATTCATTCTCTTTAGTCTCAATCTCCTCTTCGTGGTGAGTTCATGGTGTAATTTTTTCCGCTAAATAAATAGAATCACATGTTAGTTCTTTTTTGAATTATGAGAGGAAACTGCTTAACAGTACCCTTAGAGCTAGAATAAACAACTTCTCCGAACCACCTATCTGGTGGTTCTCTTCACTGGTTAGGTATAAACAACGTAGATGCTCACAAATAAGCTCAGCGTAACTTCAAAGATGATGGAGTGGTCGGAAAAGGATAGTCTCAAACTGTAAGCGCATCGTATTAAAAACAGCTTTCCAAAAGTCTTGTACTCTCCTCTTCAAGTACACAATGCAGTTAGTTCAGTGCACTTTTGGAGTTTTGTTAAATTTTTTCGCTAACGTTCGCCCACTGTGGAGGTTGTGAACAATATCAACTTTCTTCAAAGCCCATGTCACGATCTAGGTACAGCCCAGCCCATCTGAAGGTCAACGCCTAAGGCCACTGTTTTAGTACTGCCAAAGTATGCGCCGTTGCCAATGCTATGCCTTCTACCACTGTACATTTTCTTGTTTGAAGGGTTATTTACTGGGCTTTAGACTTTTTATTTTCATTTTTTGAGGCGAACCATTTATTACTTAAAAAACGCTCTAAATGTATCCGAAACAGTTCACACACCTCTCTGCAGGCGTTTGACCGTCTAATAACGAAAACTTCCATCCAAACTTGTGCAGTGAAGAGGCATGGATTAACCACATTTTTGTCTCAACCTCTCAATTTGAGTGAACTCCTTGATTTACTGCCTGTTCATTTTAAATCCTGCCTTTTCCAACTGGCGTGTAGCGCAAAATGTACTGATATGTACCGATCAGTGGTTTGAGTGTATGAAATGTACATTTCCTTGATATTTAATTGGATCTCGGGGCTTTTGTTGACCATGTTTCAGTCCGATTGCATGATGTTCTCCATTTTTAAGTTCCTGCCACCCACGGATTCATTTCGTGTAGCAGTTCTGTATGCGACTCTCTCTCCAATAGCAGTATAAATACTTTCTTCATTTTTTTTATTTCCTAACTCCAGGATAGGTTCTGCAAATAAAACGATTTCCCCACATTGCAGTCATCAATTAATGTCGACTCACACTTTTTAGCGTCATCTATCTCCAGTTTTAAAAGTTCTTCCATTAGAGAAATGTTTAAAAACACTCAAATTTGGTGATGCGGCCTGTTAACACGCTGTAGTAATCAGATAAATCGCTAACTCCAGTAAAATGTGCTTAAAATATCTCTGATAGCCAAGTACCGCTGAATGCCGCCTTCCTTCTTTGTCCCGAAGGCACATCAAGCCAAGCATTGGAGGCTTTGGGCATCACCCAAACATTTGGCCTTTTAGCAGTCTAGCACCCCATTTTATGATTCTGCCTCATCAAATACCAAATACCAGTGCGAATAATTAGATAAGTTTACGCCTGTCTGACCGTTTCAATCTACTTCAGTGCAAATACATGTAGGCGTAGACGCTTTTGTTTATGGACAGACGCAAAGGTGGTTGATACGTGAGGCAAGACGAAGCGATAAACCAAATGGTGACGAATAAGTCGTGCAATCCAAACGCCAATCTCTGGTGCCACTTGCATCGGCTCCATGAGCTCTCGCCCTATTGTCCGAAGCCCATCCACCACCCATGAGGCGCCATTTCACCTCTCAGAATTCGCACTGCTAAATTCGTCGACGTCTTTGAGCTAAAAATAGTTAGTGTGATCCAATTCCTCGAATCAAAAGCCTCCATATGAGGACCCACGCAAGTATTAAACTGTCCCAGAAGGGGCGCCTTTGACAGATGGATTTTTTACCTTAAGCTTTGCGTTCGCCTTGTATTGATATGTTATGACAAATTTTCGGTAAATTATTAATATGTCAAGACGTTTCCGCTAGGAACCATTTTTGTTTATTTATTTGGTGCAAATTGAGCGACGTGTACGAACCTCGCGACCGTTACGATTGCAGCCTCAATCAATGAGCGTTTGGAGGAAAAAGGACTCCTCGCCTTACCAGCGCTAGTGGTCATGCAGAATGAATGTTGGAAAGTTGCCGTGTCATATTACTTATTTAAATCGCTATATAG